AAACTAATGGGCAAGTTGAGATCTCTAACAGGAAGATCAAACAAATTCTAGAGAAAATGGTGCAACCAAACAGGAAAGATTGGAGTCGTCGTCTAGAAGACGCACTTTGGGCTCAAAGAACAACTTTCAAGACACCAATAGGGATGTCTCCCTATCGAATTGTTTTTGGTAAGGCATGTCATCTTCCTGTTGAGATAGAACACCGTGCTTATTGGGCGGTAAAGAGTTGTAATCTAGAGATGCAACAAGCAGATATTGAAAGGAAACTCCAATTACAACAACTTGGAGAGATTAGGCTAGAAGCTTATGAAAGCTCTAGAATTTATAAAGAGAAAACCAAACACTTTCATGATAAAATGATTTCTAGGAAGAAATTCTCTGTGGGCCAACAGGTTTTACTGTTTAACTCCCGCCTTAAGCTTATGGCTGGGAAACTTTGATCCAAATGGATTGACCCTTTTACTGTTACTAATGTTTTCCCCCATGGTGCAGTAGAAACTAAAAGTGCAGGTACTAACAAGGTTTTCAAGGTTAATGGGTCGCGGCTGAAGCTATTCTATGAGAGTTCAGTACCTGAAGATGCTACCATAGAAGAGTTTTCTTTGGAAGCACCCAACTACACTACAACCTGACCAGGGAGCACCATTTCCTTTCTCTCACTCTTACTTTATAATTGAGTCCATTTCATCGAGGACAATGTCTGTTTTAAGTGTGGGGGAGGGAGCCTTTTGTTTTCTTTAGTTTTGTTTGTTTTCTTTATTTCTGTTGGTTTCTTTTTTTATCAAAAAAAAAAAATTTAATCGCATGCTTTTTCGTGAGTTATTTTGTTACAACTGTGAGTTTTCTCTATGCTCTTTGACGAAATACTTGTTGTGTGATATGATTGATTCTTTTTGTACATTCTTAGTATATATGTATGACTAAACTCTAAATTGTACATACTAGTGGTAGATCACCAAACCTTGTGAGGTTTTGAGCCTAATAATGGATATACATAAAAAATCCATCTCTTTTCTTCTTGTGTGATTTCACTCATGTTTGTTAGTCTCTAGAACTTGAATTAACTTTTTTTAAAGCTTTTTATTTACTTGTGCACACTGAAATGATAAAGGCGTGTCATTTTGTTTTATTTTTAGCCAGTTAGCCAAAAATCCAACCTTGATAATATTACCCTTGTTTTCAAGCCCCTTTGAGCCTATTATCCTTTTTTTCTATTTAAAACTCATTACAAGCCGAAAAAGTGAAAAACAATGAAATAAGCCTATTCAAAGGGTTAAGAGAGCCTTGTATGAAGTTGTGTGGGGTTGAACATTATCTTTAAATTATTATTGTAATATTGTTATAGTGTTGGCACAAAAAAAAAAGAAAAAAAAAAGGGAAGGATGCCAATACATATCCCTTCCGGAAAAAAAAGAAAAAAAAAGAATAAAAGGAAAAAAGAGAAGAGAAATAAGTTGTGAGGTTGTTGTTTGGAAGCAATTGATGTATCATGTAGTGCAACTCCCGCAATTCTTTCAATTTTCTTTTAAATCTTTGATTTAACCTAGTACCCCTTAGGATTTACCCTGCCCTTACCTTGGCTACGTTACAACCTTAATAAAAGTCCTTTTGATCTTTGTGTGAATGTAAATCAATTGTGAATATTAGAGTTCTTTCAAGCATATGGTAGTACTAACTTTCATGTTGTGCTTTGAGTGTAAACATGTAACCTAAATACTTGAGAGTTGAGTGAAAACAATTTATCTTGTGAGGATCTTGATGCTTGTGATGTACCTTTTGGTAATCTGTTTTTCATATATTCTTTGAATGTCACAAAAGAGTTAATCACTAATGTCATATTATTGAAGCTTAAAATTAGAAGTCTGCTTGCACTTCGTATCCAGAGAACCCTTGAGATTGCATGCTCTGTTCGATTTTTACTTTGAAGTTTCTGTTTTAAATTCTTAATTTTGCTCGGAGTGCAAAAGTTCAAGTATGGGGAAATGTGATCAGTGCATATTGATGCACATTCCTCTATGTTTAGACTTAAGCATTTCTATAGTTTGGTTTGCTTATTTTTCTATTTTATGATGTTTTTACAATTCAATTTATTTTCAGCCTTATTTGATTTTCGTTTGTTATTTTCAGCATTAGCAGCTTTTAATAAAAAAAATTCATAACTAGAGCTACAAAAGTCGGATCGAGGCGTTCTACTAGTCGTTGAAAATCTAAGAAAAAGATATACAATTTTCATGTTGCACGAAGAATCTGATTCTGGTTGCATGAGTCTCGAATAATTCATTGAAGTTTCTGACTATAATAATTAAGTTGTTTCGGGTCATCCCTATTGTGTCTGGTTTATATTTCCGACCCAGTTGAGTGTGTAATGTAAACCTTATCACTCTTTATAAGGTTTGCTTCCGTACTACAGTAATTTTTACCCTAGCTTTTACGGATTTTATTTGGCTTTCACATATTTTATGGCGAACTAATCCCGAGGGGAAATCTACTGGTTTCGAATTCCGTAATCCTTTGAGGTTTTATTACAAATTCCCGATTTAATTCAATTCCTTTCCAATTCGTTTTATAATTTTGATTTTCTTAATTCATTCTTATAGAATAGATTGGATTCAATTCGATTGATCTATGCTCCTTACCTTAATCGCGGTTAACTTAACTTTGTCGTTAATTTGCGCTATCGTTAACTGTTTGCTTAATTCAGTGATTGCGAATATAATTCGTGTAGTATTATCGACACTTGTTCTTCAATATTGCAATTGAATAGGGATTGGAACCGCTTAGGAAATTGGAATTGTAATGACCGATGATAAGTTGGGAGTCAAACCGGTAGATTAACCTATTTTAATCACTTATTGTAATAATTAGTTATTTTACCGTTTATTTTCTTAATCGATTTCTAAATCAAAACAACCCCCCATAATCGTTTTCAATTGGTTATTTCATCAACAAGAATCCTTGTGTATTGACATCTGAGTTATTGTCGCTTTACTACATTTTTTTTTCAAATTACTCGTTTTTGATCCGCACGCGACAGCGGATCAAATTGCCCGTAGATATTGATGCACCCTCATGGGAACATTCCCAATTTGACCAAGACGTATACAAGTCCAGATTGGAATGTGTGTAAAAATTTACCAATGAATTGAGAGAGGTCACCCATGTCCGAGAATTCACCGCCAAGCATCTTCCAGAAGGTACAATTCTAAAGTCATGCTAAAGGAAATGCGAAAATGCGATATGGTCTTAAAACAAGTAGTTTTGCTCGCACAGTTGGGAAAATTACAACCCAAATGAGATGGACCATATTGCAAATTCTAAAAGATCCCCCACGGGGCATACTAGTTACATAAACTAGAGGAACAACTCCCAGTAAGAACTTGGAACACTCTCCATCCTAAATATTATTATTGTTAGATTGCTGTAATTTCTTAAGAGACATAATCATTTACCTATGAATATTTCTTGAATGTTTATTACTAGCAAGAATATTTTCTTATATATTTTATGTTGCACTTCATGACGAAGATCATTGTCGCCTCTTAAGGCAATATTTTATGTTACACTTCACGACGAATATCCTTGTTACCTCTTAGGGCAATATTTGTACGCTGGACTTCATGACAAAGATCTTTATCGTCTCTTAATGCAATATTTTGTATGTTATACTTCATGATGAATATCCTTGTTGCCTCTTAAAAAAAATATTTTATATGTTGGACTTCATGATGGTGATATTTGTCGCCTCTTAAAGCATTATATTGTATCATGGACTTCATGACGAAGATCCTTGCCGCCTCTTAAGACAATATATTGTATGTTGGACTTCATGACGAAGATACTTGCCGCCTCTTAAGGTGATATATTGTATTATAGACTTCATAACAAAGATCATTATCGCCTCATAAGGCAATGTTTTGTATGTTAGACTTCAAGGCGAAGATCCTTGCCGCCTCTTAAAACAATGTATTGTATTATGGATTTCATAACGAAGATCCTTGTCGCGTCTTAAGACAATGTTTTGTATACTAGATTTTAAGATGAAAATTCTTGCCATCTCTTAAGGCAATATGTTGCAGGCTAGACTTCTCGGAGAAGATACTTATCACCCTCTGGGAGTATTAATAAACAACTTAAATTTCCCACTTGAGAGACATGAAATTTTCTCCGGGAGAACCAATGATATAAATCTCGCTCAAAACTATTTTTCTATTTTTATTAACATCTATGTTATTCTTACTCTCACTTTTACACCAAATACTTACACCAAATACTATTCAGTGTTTTTATTTTTTTAATAAATAAAAATAATATTTATAATATGTGAACAGTGCATGAACAATGCATGAATAGTATATGAACAGTGCGCGATAAATCAAAATTGGTTAATGAAATATAAAAAGTTGGTTAATGAAGTTATGAAGTTGGTTAATACGCGTCCAGATATTAAGAATAATTTTTATCAGTCAATAAAGTTGGTTAATACAATGTATAAGGTTGGTTAATAAAATTATGAAGTTGATTAATCACACAATTTTATGTCAATATCATTTAATTTAAAAATATAAAAATAAAATATTAAAATAATATTTTTTTATTTTTTATTTTTTTAAAAAAATAAAAAAATATATAAATAAACAGTAAAATATATTGTAGGTATATGATTTTAGGGTAGAAATAACATTTTTATTTTATTAAACATGCACGGCTATTCTACAATTTTTAATAGTTTGTAATTAGGACCAAAAGAAAAGTTTTCTTAGCTCTTCTGCATCATGAATCCTTTACCTTCTTTTTTTTGTGTAAGGATGCCAAATAACATGAAAGTTATTATTCAAGAGATTGGATTTTTGGACGGGACACAAAAAGCTACACGGCATGTTGTACTTTAGTTTTTTTTAATCACACAGCATGTACTTTAGTTAGTATGCCAACCTAATAAAATACATCATATGCCTCCCCTTTCCACACTCACTAAACAGAGAGAATCTTTGTTTAGTTTAATGGGTTCCGTGAAAGTAATATCCACAGCAACAATCCAAGCACCGAGTCACAACAATGGCAACTCAACTGAGATAATAGAATTAACACCATGGGATCTTCAGTTCCTCCCACTTGAAACCATCCAAAAAGGTCTTCTTTTTCACCAATCCACTCTCACATCGAACCTAAACCAAATCAACCATTTGAAACAAACTCTTTCAACTACACTCTCCTTCTTCCCTCCCTTAACAGGCCGTCTCATAATCACACAACACAACAACGACGCCTCATGTTCCATCATTTGCAACAACCTCGGAGTTCTCTTCGTTCACGCCAAAGCAGAAAACACAACCGTTTCCGACATCATTCAACCCAACTACATACCTCCCATTGTTCACTCCTTTTTCTCACTTAACGGCGTTAAAAACCACGAAGCCATTTCACAGCCAATTCTAGCCGTCCAAGTAACCGAGTTAAGTAACGGAATCTTCATCGCCTTCACTATCAACCACGCTGTTTCCGACGGCAAGTCGTTTTGGCATTTCGTCAACTCTTGGTCACAAATATCAAAAGGTTCTAAAAAACTATCCAAACTACCTTCACTTCAACGCTGGTTTCCAAACGACATTGAACTTCCAATACGCTTTCCTTTCACTATAACAGAAACACAAAACAAAAGCGATTCCAAAAAGTTGCCAGAAAGAATCTTTCATTTCTCGAAGGAGAAAATCTCAGAACTGAAATCAAAAGCAAACTCAGAAGCCAAAACCCAAACTGAGGTAGTAACTGAAATATCTTCGCTTCAAGCGCTACTATCTCACATTTGGCGTCGCGTTATTTGTTGCAAACAACCAGGTCCACAAGAAGATTTCCGCTATATGTTAGTTATCGGTGCTAGACCTAGGATGAGTCCACCACTTGAAGATGATTACTTTGGAAATGCTGCTGTAATTGGTGGTGTGAATATGAAAGCTGAGGAAATTCTAGAGAGTGGAATAGGAAAAGTTGGTTTGGAGATGAACAAGATGATTATGTTACATTCTGATGAGAAAATAAGGAAGCTTTATGAGTGTTGGATGAGAGTGCCGAGATTGTTAGAGGTTGGTGGTTTGGCAAGTGGTAATTCATTGGCAACAAGTAGTTCTCCAAGGTTTGATGTCTATGGTAATGATTTTGGTTGGGGGAAGCCTGTGGCGGTTAGAAGTGGGGGTGCGAATAAGAATAATGGGAAGATTACTGTGTATGCTGGAGCTGAAGAAGGTAGTATTGATATTGAAGTTTGTCTGTCTTATGAGATTTTGGAGGCTTTAGGAAATGACACTGAGTTTGTTGTTCCCAATTCTAAGTAATGTTTGTTCTTGGTGAAGAAAATCTGTTGTGCTTGGTTGTGTCTGGTTGGTATGTTGTGTTGTGTATGTTATTCATAGGTATTCCCGTGTCTTGTTCTAACGATGAAAGTCAATTTATGTTTAATGAGTTCCTATTTAAATTTTTTTTTTGTTTGATCATGTTTATTAGGATATTGCTCATCGTGTTACAATTTATTATAAGCATCTGTTACTTGCTTTGGTGTCTTAGTTAGAAGTATTTGTTCTGATAAAGTAGAAATAATGTTTTAATAAGAAATCTTTTATAGAGTCACAATTAAAATATCTAATGAAATGTCATGTCATTTTAATCTCACACTAGCGTTACAATTTTTTCTGTTCATAAATCATAAATGGATGTGGTTGATGAATTGGATATCTTCAATTAGTAGCGTTGATCTCCATTATGGCAATGTGGGATGGACATGTATGGTTAACACTCTAACACTTAGTCAGTGTGAGATTCAAGATGAGTATAATAAAAAATGGAGATCATAAAGTGTACCCTGCTTTCCGTGTGAAATGACTTTACACTTTGGGTCGAGTGAAGTGAATTTGAAATGAATTGGACCCAAACTATTTGAGCCTTTAACCCGGTCAGAACTGTTTCTCCCAAGGCTTTGTCGGGAACTGAGTGAGTCGGGGAAGCCTTTAGCGATTTCAGCCTACAAGTGTCGCACCTCAAAAAATCACATAGAGATCTTTCAGAAACACAACCCTCGCGCTAAAGGCGCGGAAATGCGATTCGACAGAGTCGCCACCAAACTTTATTTATCCTAAAGAGATGGGAAAGGAAAATATCGAGAAAACCTTTTAAAAGACGGATACGAACGATGGTCGTCGCAACCACGTTTCGGGTTCGGGAGTCAGTTACGCAAGGGGAAGGTATTAGCACCCCTCACGTCTGTTGTACTCAACGAGAACCTCTTAGTACAATTTGCGATGGGCGTTATCTAAGATTGCTTGTTTTCTTCTCAATGATAAATGTGAATTGGTACGATAAAAGGATAATGACGCTAAGGGAAAATGAGTGGTTTAGGAATAGGGTGTTCGCCAAGGATTGGGGCCCTTGTGCCTACGTATGCTCATTCGGAAGAGAATGAGAAATCAGAGCTTCGTAGTTCGACTTCGGGAAAGGATAAGGGGGAAACTGAAGATGGAGGGAATTGTGGAGAAAAATGGAAGTGTGCTCGTCAAGATCATCGCAATCTTGTGCCTACGTATCTTACATTCAGGCGAGAATGAAGAATCAGAGCGTCCGTAGTTCGTGGAGACGACCATGATAAGAGAGGGTTGAATCGGTTTGAAGTTTGATTTGGAAATGAAAGATTGAATGACAAACAACCCAAGGGGCGTGCCTCGAGAGCTGTCACTCAAGAATCCAAGGAATGCGAGATTCCAAGAACTCAGTTTTTTTAGAGTTGATCGAAAAGGTTTTGAGAAAGGTTGAACGTTTTGAATTCGAAAGACTGAATGAATAACCACTCAAGGGGCGTTCCTCGAGAGCTATTCAGTCGAAGATTCAAGGAAAGCTAGACTCCAAGAATCTCCTTCTTTCGAAAGTTGATTACAAAAATATTTAGATAAAGATTAGGTGTTTTGAGACGAAAGTTTGAATGAATGACAACCCAAAGCGTGCACCTCAAGAGCCTTTTATTCGAAGATCCAAGGAATGCTAGACTCCAAGAATCTTCTTCTTTCATTATTTGTTTAAGGAAATAGTTTGAAAATGATAGAATCGAATAAGTTGCGAAAAGAGGTGGACTGCAAGGCAAAAGGCACTCGACTTATTTTGAGATTACCGCTTGACGTTGGATCAAGGGTTTAATTTTATTTGCATGTAAAGACGTGTTGGAAAAGAGGTTGGTTTTAAAATGGCTCGACGACGAGTCGAGAGTTTGGTTAAAAATGGAACTGGCTCGACGACGAATCGAAGGTTAGGTTGTGAGAAACGATACTAGTCCCTAAGGGTGCTCCTAATAATGAAACCACGATGAAATATGAAAGTGTGTGCGATAGGTTGATGGTGAATGCGTGCGAGTACTCGAGTTACGAGGGGTGTTTGAAAATGGCTCGATGACGAATCGAGAATTAGTTTGAAAATAGATTTAGTTTGTAAAAGTCGAAAGATTGAATGAACAACAACCCAAAGGCATGCCTTGAGAGCCATTTATTCGAAGATCCAAGGAATGCTAGATTCCAAGAACCTTCTTCTTTTGAAGTTTGATTGGGAAACAAATTTGGTTACAAATTTGAATCGAATTAGGGTACGCAAAGAGTTCGTTTATACGAAGTCTCGAATACGAGGTTGGATTTGTTAAGTGCTTTAAGAAATGAAGATTATTTGATAAACGAGACGTCGACCTCACAACTAATTAATCAGGGCATTATTGAGATGCTAGATCCCAACGACGCTTTTCATTCAATTAATTATGAAATATTGTTTGAGTGGACAATGAAAGTACCATATGGAATGCGAGACTCTAAATAATTAAGGAGCGTATTTTAGAAACGAAAAAATTGAATGACGCCCTACCCAAGGCGTGCGCCCCAATATTGGTCATTCAAGTATCTAAGAAGTGTTAGACCTCAAGAATTCATTTCTTTCGTAATTTAATTAAGAAAATATTTTGAATCAGTATTTTGAAAAAAACATTTAATTGTGATATGTCAATCGAAAATAGTTTATTTTGAACTCGCCTTATAAACCAACTTAACTAATTAAGGTTTTAATTGAATAATGTCAAAAAGTGATTTTTAATTAGAAGTGATTATTGAGTTTTGAAAAGAAAGTGGACTTAAAGATAAAAGCGAAATATATTCGAAGTTGATTTGTGCGTGATGACAATATGAGTAGAATGTAACATGCAATGATCAAGACGTGGCAAAAATACCCATTGATGTTTTAATGTTTAATGGCATGACGTTATGGAATTACCGAGTCCAAGAATCAACATCGAAGGCGAAGCTATGTTGACGCGTTGTTTTCGGTGAACGATTATTGATGCCAAATATGTCGAAACAGTGGCGGAACAGAATGCAGAGCAGATCAAAATTGGTGAAGAACTTCAAGCGACTGATGTTGTGTTAAGGTTGCGTCTTTGAACTTCCGAAACCAAAACGAAACAAGTTGAAAACGAGGTTTGAATCATAGCAATTCGTGGTTGAAGATGGTTGTATGAAATTGATGAGGAAATAAATGATTTGAAGGTGCTTGTAGTGTGAATCAGAGAACAAGTTTAAGGCTTGAATATCTGATGATGGTGGTGCGATGAAGCAGGTTGAAAAGAAAATGATGGTCCAGAGAAGAAAAGGATGTCGAAGCAAATGAGAGGAAATTCTCTCTTTTTAAGATGTATTTTTTCTTTCTCCTCAGATCCACAAAAACCACTTTTATTCTTTCCATATCTCATGACACGTGTTAACATAAAGATTTTTTTAGATTTTTCACTCTTTTTCCACAAGAAGCGCTGAGTGGGGTGATAATCATCTCTTTTCTCTCTTTTTATTTCTTATTTAATCATCATTAACAGTTATTATTATTAAAATATTAATATTATAATTATTATAACAAAAAAATAACTCACAAATGACATGTTCTATATGCTATTTGGTGAGGTGACAAAATTCTAAAAAACTAACCAATCAAAAATAGACAAGTGTCTCATAATTGTGTGAACAAAAATAATTACTTTTCTGATTTTATAAATTAAACAAAAATAAAATAAAAAAGCTAAATTATGATTGGCTAATGATGAAAAATGAGGATAATGCACATGGACCTTTGATTAAATTTGAATCTAAATCCATACTTAATCAAAGAAACACACTTAATTTAAAATGTCAATGTTGCCCCCTTCTAGAAACTTTAATTAATTTAATAAAATTAAATAAATTAAAACTAATAGAAATTCACTCCTTATTGAATAAAAATGATAAAAAATAAAATGTTAACATGAAAAATTCAAATTAATTGTTCTAAATATTTTGATGAAGAGATAAAAATAAATGAACTGAAAAATGAAACACATCGACTGTACAGGAAATGATTAACATAGAATGAATGACTCGGAGGAATACAACATTATGTCGAATTTAAAAATTGATCGGGTATCTGTTATCTCACAAATTCGACGCTCATACTAAATTAAAATGTTTGGATGAAATATTAAACTCTTGAAGAAGTATGAAAAATCTTCGAGTGAAGAGACCTTCGAGTAGGCTGAGTTATTTAAGTATTTGGGACTTAGAAAATATTTCCAAATATTAAAGATGCCACCTTCGACCGAGGCTGCTAGCCAAATATTAGTGGAATTTTGAAATTCAAATAAAGGAGGGAGTAGTTATGCTTTCTCATGACTAAACAAGACAAGTGGCGCACATCCAGCAAGTGGCTACATGCGACGCGACATTTGTCATAGGCTGGTCATTTTAGGAGGTTAATGGTAGTTAATTTTACTATTATAAATAAGGGTTCTAGCAATAGAATTCAGTGTGTTGTAATTTACTATTGTACAAGTCACTCCTAAAATTACTCAAAGTATCCGAGTGTAGAGAAACGAGTTCTAGGAGAATGTACGTCATGTAAACACGCCATCTTTACGTTCAATGAAACTTATTTTATTTTGCTTAATTTTAAAGAGTTCATCTTTACTTCCTTGTAATTTACATTTTTTTGCATTCTGCTTTACTTTGCTTAAATGTTTTGCAGACTCTTTACTTTGCTTCCTACAAATTCACGTCTTTTCGTTTCAATCGAGTCTTACCTTTACATTAACCTTTTCTTCAAAAACATTGTCGAAGTGTTTAGTTTTAGGTAGTTTTCTTTCAAGTACAATTTAGCACATGTCCTAGGATCAATCTGATCGATCCTGTGAATTAAGCACAATGATGAGTAGAACGTTTTTTGTGAAGGACGGAGGTGTTTCCGATGAGTGGGTGTGGTAGATAATGAAGCTTTTGTGGAGAGAGGGTTATGGAGG